TTATACAGATATAAAGCCACAAACACAGAACACGTGATGTCTTACAAAGAGAGATTGAATGATATTATACAGATATAAAGCCACAAACACAGAACACGTGATGTCTTACAAAGAGAGATTGAATGATATTATACAGATATAAAGCCACAAACACAGAACACGTGATGTCTTACAAAGAGAAACATTGAATGATATTATACAGATATAAAGCTACAAACACAGAACACGTGATGTCTTACAAAGAGAGACTGAATGATATTATACAGATATAAGGTCACAAACACAGAACACGTGATGTCTTACAAAGAGAGATTGAATGATATTATACAGATATAAAGCCACAAACACAGAACACGTGATGTCTCACAAAGAGAGATTGAATGATATTATACAGATATAAAGCCACAAATACAGAACACATGATGTCTTACAAAGAGAGATTGAATGATATTATACAGATATAAAGCCACAAATACAGAACACATGATGTCTTACAAAGAGAGATTGAATGATATTATACAGATATAAAGCCACAAACACAGAATATGTTTTCATACAGATCAACATTTCATGTAACACAGTATTCAATACAAATATAAAGTCACAAACAAAGAACAGATAATATCACACAAATATAAAGATACAAATGGAGATTATATGATATCATCATACAAATATAAATTACATCTTGAATAGTTACAGAAATAAAACAAAAACAGATAGTAGGATGAATTCACACCGTCAGGAAAAGTTTCTACTGGCTGTTAAGTCTTGTGCTTTTAATCTGTATTACTACTGTTTTACCTCTAAGATAAGGATTCAGAAAATGTTGGTTCCTGTAGCTGTTTGAGTAGATAACACCGTGTATGAAAAACAGGTACGAACATCTCAAGTTTTAAAAAATTGCATTTCTTTACAGAAAGAGCATAATGAGACATTGGCCAAACTAAACTTTGTTCTGGCGCTTGTTGAATGTGTCCTAGACCTGGCCAAGTCTAAAGGAAGTCCACTAGCATCTCTCACAGATTCTTTTATGAAGAAAGAAGTAAGTGGTTCGTTTTAATTTGAAAAAAAAAGGTTTACTTTGTTTGTCTAATTTTGACAAATTAATAACATTATTAAAGTTCTGTTTGTGTTATACACACCCATACAGTTCATTGTGAGGCTAGATATTTTAATCCCAACAGCCAGCTGTAGTCCCTAAATAATTAAAGGGTTTACCCCGTTACGTAAAGCTTGTTTATATTTAGATATACAGAATATGCTATAACAAAATGAGTTGATTAATTCAGACAGTACAACTTGTTTAAATCTATTAAACACTTTTTATGCTTTCCTCAGAGTCAGCTTGGACAAATACCTGTCGTTACTGAAGGTTGTCGACGAGCTGAACAGCTAGTACTTTTTACAAGAGCCCTACAGTTGTTATCATCATCTCTCCAGCTTTCCAGACAGGAAGTTGATGCTGGTCGTCTCTCTCCTTCCACCTCTATGCGATTTGGTAAGGTTAGAGCAATGAAAAGTTTATCACTAAAGATGTCTTGTGTAGCACAGAAACTTTAGGTTACTAGTGTGAGGTTATCAGGAAATAATGCCTTCTGAAGTTAATACTTACTTTTTTTAATAATCATTTTAAGGTCAGAAAATTATAATATGAAAAGATGTAGTATTTGGGTGCACCAATATCTGACAGAAGAGTATTAATATCCATAATACCCAGCTGATTCTTAGATAAGTTATGAAGAAAAGGAATCAAACATGGACATTGAAGTGCAATGTTCCTGGACTGTTGAGAGACTTGCACATGTTGAAACAGTAATGAAATCGTTCTTTCAGACTCTGAAGGACTGCAGAAATAAAAGTGCTTATATTTATTATACAAACCTGAGTAAAAACAAGATACATATACACAAGAAGAAATTCTAATTGAAATAACGTCTGATTTGATAATTAGAGAACCCGATATGCTGAGCTAGAGATGTCACAGAGACTTGTACAAGTCAGCATAAGTTGGGAGGTGTCTCTCTTAATGTATAATAAAAATGATCATTGATATAGGTAAGTTAGGTATACAGAAAATCTGACTGAACAATGCAATAAATCATTATTCTTGCTCTTGTATTTGTCTGGCGTAGACATCTTTCTACATACTTGTCAGCCAAATGCACTGTAACGAATACAGAAAGCTCCAGAAAAACTTAATTTATTGTATAAATAAAAATGTTGTTATTTCAGGGAAAATTCAGGCAGATTAGACATAGTGGGTTTGAGAACTATACCTGCCTACTGAAAGAAAAGATTATGTTTTGGCTTCTATACTGAGGCCTTTTTATTTTGTTTTACTTATACACTTGTATTTGCTTCTTTTCCGCATTAGGAGTAGACCCAAGTACCTACTCTATCACAGCTGATCAACTTATCTATAACTATGCTATTGAAATGGTATACGTTATAAGTTTTTTAATAATGTCATTCAGTGATTAAGTTTGACAAAGTAACGGGTAAATGTTATTTATACATTTTAATTCACTTTTTTACTTATCTAACCACCATGTGATAAGTTATGATTGTTTTCCAAAAAAGTGAGTATCGTAACATGACGGTAACTTTTATGGAAAGCAAATTAAAATTGTTCTCAGGGCACTTGCTCTTTTTTGTGTTTGATCTGGTGTTTTCTTTGCTTGGAAGTTACATTTACTGAACAGATGTTAAAATTAGTTGAACAGAGTTGTTTAAACATTTGTTTAACAAGTAAAAGCTTGGAATGGTCTATTCTTTCATTGTTAAAATTGTTCTTAGGGCACTTTTTATTTATTCTAATTGAATTTAGAAAAATGCTTAGATTCTTGAAGTGTATTGTGTTACTTGATTTTTTTACTTTTTCAAGTGTTATCTGAAAAAAGTTGTTCTTTTATTTTTTTATATAGTGTCAATCTGCAGCACTGGAAGAGTTGTTTGGAAATCCAGAAGAGGTAATTATGTTGTATTCGTGTCTTGTTAATATGGAATTAAAGTTGAATAAAACTTACGATGATGTTATGTTATATATAAACTTTGGAAACTCACAAGAGGTAATTATGTTGTACTCGTGTCTTGTTAATATGGAATTAAAGTTG